GGGGAAAAGGGCGGCATATAAATAAAATCAACATTCAACATTCAACATACATTTTCATTTAAAGAAAACATTTTTGTGTTCACCAGTCATTGAAATAAATGGGTTTACTGTTTTTAGGATAAACACTTAAAAGCCGCACTTTTAATATTTTTTTAATGCTGTTCTTTCCAGATGATCCGAAAAGGAGTGTTCAAAGATCAGCACTTCGATCAAAACCTCAACTTTATGTACATAGAGGTAGATAAAGTAACAGAAAGGGTAAGTAATAGAATGAGCAAGATTGCTTTCTGTGGCATCCCTTAATTAAAACGTTGCATGAAGGTGTTACGATATGTAAGAATCTTCCACAAATCAAAGTCTTTGGTTTACAGACAATTATGAGGTATAGTAAAGAATTCAAATATATGGGGGTGCGTATGTTATGAGTAGGGTAAACCTGAGCTGACCAAAACGTTTGGTTTGGTTGCATTTATTTATAAAAGATCCTTCTGTCCTCTTCATGCTCTTATTCTTAAAGATCAAGGTTTTTTTAACCCAAACATTATGGGAAACAGGTAACTATGACTCTAGGCTACAAAGAATCATACTTGATGTTAAATTACGGTGCCATTCCTGAAGCTCTAGCGCTGCACCTAAACTCTTAAAACATTAAGATCCAAGAAAAAAAAAGATGCATTAAAGTCTTGTAATTTTGAATGGTCACTAAAATGAACTCTTGTAAATTGAGAACTACCTGTAGTCATAATACTGTTGAGGTTTTGTTTTCCTCTTCCTGTCCTTCTAATTGACAGCATTTGGGCCATGGGGCAGTTACTATTTAGGGAAAGTATTTTGCTTTCAAAAGCCAAATTTCAGTTGCATAATGTGTAACCTCTTAACTGGACTGGCCATTTCGTATTCTTTGCAATTTTTACATTTACCTTGAAAATGAATGCTGGATGCCCTTGTCTTGGTAGGAAAAAGTGACTGTGATGAGCACCATTAATCCAACGAAGGACCTGCTTGCGGATTTAATTGGGTGCCAACGCCTCCCCGAAGATCAGCGCAAAAAGGTTCACCAGTTGAAGGACTTGTTGGACCAGATCCTCATGTTAGACCCGGCTAAGCGGATTAGTATCAACCAGGCCCTACAGCATGCCTTCATCCAGGAGAAAATTTAAATCCAGCGAAGATATTCAAAGGGTTTGAATAGTTAATATACAAAGACTGATGAAGTTTCACTGCAATTTATAAATGTACATATAACCTATAAATAATTCCCCTGCAAAATTGAGGAAGAATGATATATTTCAATTAACACAAAGGTGGATTATTTCTTTTAGAAATGTTAGAGTAAATCTGTTTGTCTCTCGTGAAGATTTTTTCCACTGTAGAATTATTTTAATTGCCAAGACTGCACAGGAGTACAGTGCTAAAAATATATATGGTTGCAGGTCCTCTCAAATAATACACACATGCGCACATGGACTATATATATATATATATATAAAAAATCTGTGATGAAATATCAGTAAGACTGGGTGGTGATTTTGGTTTTTAGCAAATTTGGCTTCATTTTTGTCTCTGAAAAATGGCCAGCATAAATGCTGTTTATATTACATTTTCCTAGGTGTGTGCGTGCAGGCCACAGCAGCATGCCCTTGGTGTAGTCAGTGCCGAAGGGGGTCTGTTCCTTCTTGAGCCTGCCCACAGGGATGGTCTCCTCTTTTAAAGCAGGTTGCGTACAACTTTCAGTACACTGAAGGTAAGCTGAACCATCAACATCACTGGTGTTTAAGATGTTAATTGTACTGGATCAACTGACAAACGAGAATCGGTCACTGTAGCAGAATTCCCTGCATGTTTTATAAAGGAGATTACCTATATATAAATATATATAAATATCTATATATATATCTATCTATATATATATATATTATTTTCTGGCATTACAACTGTGGCATAATTCCAGCTTGTGTTTGATCATCACATTCAAAGGAAAAAAAAGTGGAGGAGTGTGCACTTGATGGAGAGAGCGCCTTCAGTGTACTGTTTATATTACTTTTTTTAAAAATATCAACTTGCTACATAAGACTTTATACCTTTTGTTAAATACAGTTCACGATGGCATAAAACCAGTACTTAAGTCATTTTCATTTACTAACAAACAAATGCTAAGCTCTGGTTCCAAAAGTCCTTATCTCCTCTTGGCCAGATAGAAAAGCACCACAAATTTTTTTTTTAGCTATTTGTATGTCATTTGAAAATGTACTGCTTTATGCTAAAGGTGTTTTCATTTGTTCATTGTTTTCATTATTTGTGATCATGTTGTCTTTCAATACAGGCATAAAACCTTCCACTCTTGAACAAAGCAGCTGCTTTTTAAAAGCGGTAATTGCTTCTTTACCTTTTATTTCTTTTGTAAATGAAACTTTAAGAAATGTGACTTTAAAGTGTTGTCTCTTGCATAAAATAGTTGACATTCACTTATTGTAAAGTGAAGATTGTTCTGCTGCATGTAAAGTGGACCATGCAGATTTCTGTATGTTTTCGGTATGCATCATTAGATAATAAAGTCTTTTGTGAACAAGGCATTGGTAGCCCTTTTTAAAGCATTTTTGTCTCCGGCGTTGCCGACTCAGGTAAAGCATAAGAAGAACTTTCCTTTTTAAGAGACCTGTAATTAAAACAATTGCTAAAAGAGGCGATCCCCTTTTAGACTATTAATTATTGACAATCCAATGTAAATATTGTCCCAAGCTCCTTGCAGATAATTGTCTTCTGCTTTCATTGTTAAGAAATTTATTCCTGTAGGTTATTGAATTAGATGCAGGTTTTAACTAATGTTTGTGCTGTTTTTCTTACTTTTCCTTTTTGATGGTGCTGAGAGAGACAAAGGAAAGCAAGTCACAGGCCACTCAACGCCTACTCCAGGGGGTCTGGTTTGCTGAGACACCATCTTCACCTTCCTAACAAGGTTATTTCTGACAGCATGTGTAGATAAACATTTAGCAACGACTTTAAAAATAGTTTGTTCATCATGAGGATACCCAACTGAATCAATTGTTTGCCAGCCCAATATTTTTTTTATTAAAAGCAGTTCATAAAGCAGATGATTCGTGTATGTTGCCTAGCTAAAACTTAGATGATTTATAATATTCCGAAGTTTATAAGGATTTTTAAAACCCATAAAGGCATGTACTTAAAGAGAAATCATATTTAGTGCAGCCAAACCTATTGTTTGCTGATGGGATGCTTCCTAGGAGCTGTTCCCTACTAGAATGGAATAATAAGCTACAACAATAGTTGATAATGTCTATTTTGAACCTCTACGCTGTCTCTCTAAAGTTACTTAAATAGTAGTAAATGTGATTGTCAACTTATTTAAAATGTTTCTTGTTTGTGCAGGAAACAGAAAGCAACTTCACTGAAAGGAAGATGTATATTACTTGATAGTCTTTTGCACACACAGTAAAGGGGCATGCTGTTTTGACAGTGCTATCAGCCTCCCTTGCACATCTAATGGCAATATGACATGTCATAAAATGTGATGGCCTTCACCATTTGTTCGTGTCCCTGCTTCCAAATAATAAAAGACAGTTGTCATGACAATTCCAGTAGCAGCTACAACCTCTCCCCCTCCCTCCCTTACTTCACTTATGGCTACAAAAAATTTTAAACTTTCCTAAGAAAAAACAAAAGTTGCTTGTTTACTTATTCTTTGTGTTGTAGGTGCCGTTCAAATGAAGATGATGGCAACCAGAAGACATGAACAAAGGTTTCTGTTCTCTAAAAGATATGCAAAACATTCTTATGTCTTTTTTTTTAAAAAAAGAAAAATATTCTTTTGTTCACAGCTCACAGAGATAGACTTCATTTACACTTTCTCATGCCGGCAGTTCTTAGCATAGTACTCTTGTGGTGATGTTTTTTTGGTTTTGGTTTATAAAAATATGTTTGCTTCATTTCTGGATAATAAGATTTTTATTGTAGTAAAACTGAGATAGGCAACTGATTATATTTTAAATCCATTAATAGAGCCTCCATGCATATCTTCAGAGTATAATCAAATGCTGTTATAGGATTGCCGACATAACTGCTTAAAGACTTTATAACAGTATAGTCATAGGGGTAATATATTAAAGTATATTTGGGCTGCCAACTATTAATATACTCTGTGACACTCTGTTAAAGTGACATAAATTATTCAGGCCTTCTGCTTTGTTTTAAGCAAGAGAGTTATGTGAATCTGGATGTCGGTATAAAAGGACCCATTTGGATTCTGGTTTTGTTAAACTCTGCAATCTAATCCAATCCATACTGTACTGGTAGTTTATTTTTTGCCTTATCCAGCAATCCTATTAGATGTTATGAACAAGGTGGTTTCCCATGGAGGCCAATCTAAGTTTAACAAAAGATCCTCAAAGGGAGGTTATGAAGAAGCATAAGTGATGCTTAAAATTCCTAACTTCTGTAACAGTATTTCAGAGTTAGGGATATATTTTAAGTACTTTATGCTTTATTGTGTTCATTGGTGTTTTGTGCTACTGCATAGATTGTTATTAACACAAAAAAAAATGCTTAGGAACAATTTTGCTAAATAATATTGAATTCTCTGCTAATAATAATGTTTCCCTTTCTATATAGGGTAAGTGGAAAATTTGTGACAGAAATTAACATGGCTTGATGTGAGCTCAAGAAGCTGAACCAGTCTGAAAATTTCAGGATGATGTCTTTGCCACTGAAATTGACAAGCTTGTAACACAAAGTTTTGAATCGGCACGAAACAGAAATTTTCTTTAATAAAGCTTCATTTTCTATTTTTAACATTGCCTCTGGATAAAGCTTATTTTTCAGTTTGTTTCTTCTATATTGTAATAGGGTTCAGTAACACTTTGTGCCAGGAGTCTGGTAACACAGAACCAATTTATTAATAGATGGTGAACAGAAAGAGGTCACATTAATTCATTTACTGTTTCTCTAGTGGATTGCTCCTCCACTCCCCGGTGAGAGAATTGAGATACTTTTTACAAACTAATCATGTTCTCCAGCTCACTATTCTTTAATCTATGCTCCTCCAGTATTTATTTTGTTTGTATTGTATCTTTTAGTTGAGAGTTCAATTGGGGTGGGGGGATAGGGAATATAGGATCACCTCCCATAGACCAATTCGTTCACACAGGTTAGGTCTCCTCCGGATTCCATCTGCCAGCCAATGTCGGCTGGCGACTCCCCGGGGGAGAGTCTTCTCTGTCGCAGCTCCGGCCCCTCGAACGAGCTCCCCGTGGAGATCCGGACCCTTACTACCCTCCCGGCCTTCCGCAAAGCCACCAAGTCCTGGCTGTTCCAGCAGGCTGGGGGGCTCTCGAAATATCCAGCCCCCCCGGAGATTGTGACTGTTGTATATTTTAATGTTGTTTGTGTATTATCCCCCTCCCTTGTTTTATTGTAAGCCGCCCGGAGTCCTTCGGGAGTGGGCGGCATACAAATCAATAAAACTATAACTAAACTATAACTATAGGATAGGCACTCTCCCCTTTGGCTTCACAACAACAAAAATAACACTGAAAATAGTTTGGAGTGAGAGAATTATTGCCCTAAATTGCCCAGTGAATAAAGATGGCTTAGAATCTAAGTCTCCTTGGAGCAAGTCACCATTTTGACTACCCTGCATGGGCTAACTGACCTATTGGCTGGGAAATTTGGGAGCTGAAATCCAAACACTGGTAAGACTCGTGGCTGTTAACTCTCATTTATGGAAGTTCCTGCAAGTACCTGAACGAAAATGTGCCCGAAGGCCAATCTTACCTTATACAATTACATTTTTATACAGATAGCAAACCTCGGTAGAAACAAAGATGTGAGTGTGGTATTGAGTCAGCTCAAAATTTAAAAAAAGCTTGGAAAAGGATGCAAGCATCCTTTTCTTTCCAAACTTGTCTTTCCAAACATTTCTTCTGAATAATTTTTTTAAAGCATGACAGCACTATCTGGTACTGGGTTCCAGTTCATGAAACATGAACATCACCACAATGTATTAAACGTGCTATAAGCCGCCTTCTTTGAGTTTGAATACAAAAATATAGAAAAACATTTTACTGCTTATAGATATTTGGGAGGTGTTTTTGGTAGAAATTTGATGAGATGGCTCTTCAGAAATGTCTAAACAATTCTCCACATGCCATTCTCCACATACCTACCAATATGGCCAGCAGCTAGGAATGCTGATAGTTGCATCTTGGCAACATCAGATATTTTCTACTCCAGGTATAGCAGTGGAAAACGGGATAATCCAATTTCTATTTAATTAGGTTTAAAGCCACAGCACCTATTGTCACTTCCTGTTTTCCAGTCTTTAAAATTAACTAAAAAGACTGCTCAAATCGATTTTTCCCTTGTGTAGAAAGGATTACTGCCTTCCACGAAAACGGAAGGAGTGCGGTAAATTCTACAAAAATTAACAAGTGCTGCAGAATTCTCACGCGAACTCGTATAGCAACTGTTCAAAGTTACGACAGCACCGAAAGAACGGCACTTATGACAGGTTCTCAACCCAGTCATTGTAGCACCTCCACGATCGCGATCGTGATTTTTGGCAACCGACTTGGCAGTAAAATGGTTGCAGGATCCCGAGATCACGACTGCCATTTGCAATCTTCCCTGCCAGCTTCCAGCAAGAAAAATGTCTAAAGTGGAAGCCAACACAGAAGGTTGAAGTTGCTTTTGCCAACTCTTCCCCCAAGGGGGCTTGCTATGGATTACAAGACCCCAGGGTTTTGCGCCCCATAGCAGGGGTCTCCAAACTTGGTAACTTTTAAGCCTGGTGGACTTCCAACTCCAAGAATTCCCCAGCCGCCACCTGCTCCATAGCATTCCGCAACACTAACCGATACACCTTCTGTAGCCTGTGGATCAGTGGTTAGAGGGCTGTACTGCAGGCCACTTCACCTGACTGTGATCTGCAGTTCGGCGGTTCAAATCTCACCGACTCAGGATTGACTCAGCCTTTCATCCTTACGAGGTGGGTGAAATGAGGACCCAGACTGTGGGGGCAATATGCTGACTCTGTAAACTGCTTAGAGAGGGCTGAAAGCCCTATGAAGCGGTATAGAAGTCTAACTGCTACTGCTATTGCTACTTGGCCTTTAATCCATCTACGCTTCAACGCTGGCTCAAGGCCACCCCCATAGCACCTGTTTCCATCTTACCCACCTGCCCTGTAGCCTCTGCAGCCCTCCAGCGCTTCTTGCCCGGGGTTCCCACTTCTTCCTGCTTAACAAACAACGCAGTTCTGAGGTTACAACCGCAGCCAGGACTGCTGCTGGGATCGCCACCCAGCAATGCAGTCACACAAGGTTGCCCTTTGCAAGCAATGGCGATTCTGGTCCTTGTCGAAATAGCCATGTTTTACGGCTGCATGGAGTCCTTGACATATAATCGCAATTGAGCCTAAAGTTTCTGTTGCTGAGACATTTGTTGCGTTTTGCCCCATTTTACCACCTTTTGGTTGTTAAGTGGAATCATTACGGTTGATAAGTAACCTGGTTGTTAAGGTTCAGTTTAGTTTTATTAAACTTGTATGCCGCCTTATTCCCCGAGGGGACTCAGGACAGCTAGCTAACAAACCAAATAGGGAAAGGGGGGAGTACAAGAAAACAAAACAAATACAAAAAAACAAATTAAAAACTCAGCAACAGCCGCAACAATTCGAGCGAGACTGGGAACTCATCAGCCCCAGGCCTGCCGGAACAGCCAGGTTTTAACGGCTTTGCGGAAAGCCTGAAGGGTGGCGAGGGTCCGAATCTCCATGGGGGAGATCGTTCCACAAAAGGGGAACCACATGACCTTGAGACACGGCAACAGTCATAAATATGAACCGGTTGCTAAGCATCTTAATTTTGATCATTGGGATGCTGCAAAGGTGGTAACTGAAAAACGGACTTAAGTCACATCTTTCAGTGCTGTTGTAACTACAGTAAATGAACTGTTGTCAAGTTGAACATTTGCAGGTGGCTTTTAAGCATTCCTGGGTGTTCTCTGCGCTCAAAGGCAGATTCAGGGTCACTTAACGATGATACAGATCAGTGGTGGGTTTCAAAAAATTTTGGAGCCTCTTCTGTAGGTGTGGCCTGCTTTCCGGGTCCACTGGTGGAACTTCTTCTAACCGGTTCGGTAGATTTGACGAACCGGTTCTAACAAACCGGTGCGAACCGGTAGGAACCCACCTCTGATACAGATATAATTTTAAGAGTTACCACACTGGTTGTAAAAGGAATCTTAAAAAAGGATAACA